GCAATTTAAATAGATTAATAAATAATAAAAGTAATTTAAATAGATTATACACAAATGGTTTTCAGTTTAAGAAAATTGCGGACGCAATATTTTTCATTTAGACTTCCCATGAATACCGCAACGATGTGAATGCCAAATTGAATAGCCTCGTCCAATCACGAACTCTTCTCTTTTCACTTTCTCCGCCTGCCATTCTCTGGTGGGAAATTTCATTTTCTAATAGGCGCCAATAACGCTTTGATTGCGCGCTCCCCAAAAACTAGGCCATAGTGTACAGCAAAAACAGACGACGACAAAAATTGAGGAATTGAGGACGTCGACGCTCGCTCCTTTCTCCGCTTTCTCCCCACTTCCCACGATTTCCCAGCGCTTTCTCCGCATTTTCCCCCTTTTCTTCTGCGGCAGCTTGTCAAGTGGCTGCTTCAGAGCTCACTGTTCTGAGCAATGTGGGCTAAGTTGAGCTCTGCTCCTCGTCTATTGATTGCATTAAAGGCAGCTCGGGAAACCAACGAAATATTACGTATACGTACATTAAAATTCAATTTACGTCCGTTCGATTAGCTGCCTCCGCCTGACAGTTTGAACTTTAATTAAAGCCACCAACGACAGGGTGATAAGGGTCATTGATTAGGAAACATGGCCAGGCAGTTCAATTGGCAGGCACGTGTGCGGGGCCATATAAATGGGATGAAAACCTACAAAATCGACCCACACAACCCTCAGAAGGACATAATCAAACATCAACGGGGAAAAAGTAAATGTCGCTAATGTAATTTATTGTTCAAGGTGTCGCCACAAATTGAAACGACATTCGGGCGAAAAGGTTTGGTCGGGTTAATTAAGGAAGTAAACATACCTTATATATTCGAATGTACTATATATTCTAACGCTTTAAACCACTTTTTAGACATGGTTTCTTGGCCAAAAGAGGTGTAAATACAAGGTAAATTAGCCATTTCTGATTTACGTCTCAATTTAAAAAAAAAAAATTCTAATATTCGTTCAGAATGAAATCTCTTGAACTTTCTTCGAGTGGTTCTTCATTAAGATATTCGGCGTGTTCAGGGGCAAGACATTGCCAAAATTTTTGACTAATTAAGTCATCCAGTGGTGGTAAGGTGGGAAGGGGCTTCGTGGCAGTCTGACATTCTGGCCGTAATGTTCGGGTGACACGCAAACACGTAGACAATCAACGCCATCAGAGGCAGTGACAATGGGGATCCTTGCCTTTTCGGGCCGAAACAGAATAATTCCGGAGTCGGGCTTAGCATATTTGAAAGTTTTGTCGCAGGACTCCAAATGGCTGTTACTGCTACTGCCATTATTATAGTTATTTGTCAGCATTAGTGCAGTTGGAAAGTGGCGCTGACTAAACAAATTAGCACATTTTCATGTTGTTATGCAATGGAATTGCTAGTTTCCGTTCTGCCCCAGCGTTTGCCTTTGCAGGTGACAACCAGGTGAAGTGTCCTAATGAAGGTAGGATGAAAGTGGCTAAAAATGGGCTGTAGCCATTAGTTTGGTGGGGTGAACTTCGGATTTTGGGACGCCTAATGAGAGGCGTTTCACAAATGAGGGGTGCAAATCTGTGTAATTGGGGCAGGATTATCTCCGTTGGGGTTGCCTTTTCCACTAGGTCAATTCTGCATATTTTTGAAAAGTCTATAAATAAGTTTATTTAAAGCGTGTATGTGAATGTGATGAACTAGATTGCCTTGATATTGACCCCAATTAGTAAAGCTTTCTATTTCTTAATACATTGATTTATGTTCTATTTATTTCACCTTAATAACATAAATATAACATTATCAGATAAATATGAATTTAGTTTTGATTTAACAATGCTCTTCGGCCTTCACTTTTAATTTTCTTTATAAACAATGAAATACATTTTTTTCCAATTTTAATTTAAGTCGCATTCTAGACTCACTTTAGTATTTAATTAAACAGAGTTGTAAAAAAGTTATCAATCAAATTAATTGTGTTACCTCTCGGGAGCGAAACTACATAAAAACTGTGCTAGAGAATGTAATCAACTCGAATTTCAATCAGCCATTAAATTAAAAACCTCCCCGGCTAGTTATGCGCATTTTACATACCCTGTTTTATGGCAGGCGCATTCCCCAGATTCCCCCACTTTTACGTACTGTTTACATTCTGACACTCCCCTTTCCACCTACCTGGCCCACTTGGCCCACCTATGCTTTTAATTAAAGCCACAAAAATGCAGCACACCAGAGAAAAACAAGAAAAAGAGACACGTTTTACTGCAACCAATTAAACCATAACGCATACATTATAATTTTATTTTTATTTTAATATTTATGTGTTTTCCGCTATGCGCCCCAAGTGAGCACCTGACTATATGTGTGTGTGCCATAAAACGGCGCCCAATTACTTAAAACTAACGAAAAACCCCCTACCAAGGTCCCCAGGTCCCGAAAGCCGTAGAATTTTCCCTTCGCAAATATAAAATATCACACCTTTCCACCCGCCCACACATCCGTTTTAATATGTATGGATACATCCTAGTTTTCCTCCAAGACAATGAAGGCACCTACAACTACACAGCTCTGCCATTCCTGGCTGCGTGTAGTGCAGTGTATTCCAAGTAATCAAAAATGCAAATCGAGCCCATGAATTTCGAATTAGTTTTCAGCCTGGCAGGACACGGGCGGTGGCGAAAGTGGGCGGAGTGTTTAGGCCACGCGGATTTTAGGCTAACGAACACACGTACTCCACTACGGCCGTATCTTTCGCCCCCACAGCTGTACGTGTAACAAATTTGTATCAGTTAGGCCGTGGCCAGGAGGATTGGAATCGGAGGACTCGTTCCCGGCAGCGTTTACCTGGTTTACCTGTGCCAGCGTAACCAAACCTGCAAAACGAAAAAACAGAAAGTACACGAAAATAGTTCACGGCATTGCGCGTGAGGCAGCCGTGGAAACAGAGAGATGGTTGCGTGAGGCCAATTAAATGCTGCGTATGTCGACTGCGAGAAGCCACAGAACACTGAAAAAAACGCAAGCATTGAAGATTTAAATCACAAAAATGATTTAGTATTAAAGCATTACGGTGTATAATAGCCTGTCTACTACAATTACTTTGAGTTAGAACGAGAAAGATATTACTAAACTACAGTATTTTATTACTATCAAAATATAGAAAATGATGTTAGTAAACTACGGTATTTTAATACTGTCAAAAAAGTTGTAGTATTACCAAATTAGAACGGAATGTCTTAAAAACGGCAATTCTTGATAACATTTTGGACTTGTAAATGTGTTATTTCGAGTGCCTAAAATAATAATTATATAGAAAGAAAAGGGTAAACTGTTTTAAATAAGTGCGTATTTCAAGTTAATAAATTCTTTCTTTTTAGTATTTTTTTTGTATTAAAAATGTGTGTGTTCAAATTTAGTGCATTTTAGACGAAGGTATTTCGAAAAGAATCTTCGAAGTACAGATCTAAGTGTTTTAGTTTTCTAGGGAAAGTTTCCTGAGAGTATCACGCTGCCATCCCTGTGATCCAGAACAAGGCTTAAACCGTACTGAGGCCCGTGATTTGTGGCCTCTGTTGGTTTTCGACTCGGGATCATCCAGTGCCAGTGCCTCACCCATCTCTATTTACCCTCCATGTACGTGACGCGCATTTCCGCAAGTCTGCCTATCAATATAAAGTGCCAGCAATTTATATTTCAACGCAGCGGAAAATGGGGGCGGCAGCGGAATTCTGGCCAGTCAAAGCCAAGCAAATCAATGTAAATATTTTTAAGGAAGCGCCACAGCAAAAGAGGGGAGCCGAAAGGTTAAAGCGTTGTGGACTGCAAAATGCAGGCCGAGTCAAGAACTGCATTTGTCGGCTTTCGAAAGCTTTCCTTTTATTTTTCCGATTTTCGTTTTTTCGGTTGGCTTCTGCTCCTCCAGCCCACTCCCCAGTGCATTTTCAATTTTACTTTATATGCAAATTTGGCATTTTGTAGCAACTGCTGCCATTGATAGCTCTCAGATTCTCTTTCCCCGGCCTCCGCTATGTTTTTCGTTGGTTTCCGTAACCCATTCGGAGCCCGGGTCTTTAAGCCAGCTTTACTTGGGGCTGCATTGCATTTGAATTTCTATAAATTTTCATTTTCCATTTAGTTGCAATGGCACACCACAAAATAAAGCGAACATTGCGAACAACACAAACTAAATCCCCTTATATTTTGTTGCCAATGTGTTTACGGCTGTTTTTCTTTAATTTGAAATGTGGGTGAATATTTTTGGCCAGTGAGGTCTCTGAATTCGAAACCATCCTATGGAACACATTGTGGCTGCTTAGTAAATAAATAAATATCTCCAAATGGGGGTTGAACCTTACAGTTTGTCTTGATATATAGGTAAATTTCCAATGACAATCACTTGGTATTGTGTGACTGGTGTTTTTATCTTAAATGAAAATCATATGAGGCAATATAATAAATGTATGATTTACTGATATCAGACTGATATTAAGATCAGCTGATGTTAATGCTGCATGTAAAAATATTTACATTTCTCTAGTTATACCCATTTTGATTAATAGTTATTGCATGCTGGACTCAATACATATGTTGAGTTTTTCATAATAAATAATCAGGAAATAATGGTGTGGACGAAATTCGTATCCGCTTTAATAGATCCGAACTGAACTTTAAGGCAATGTGTGCCATAAATAGACCCCAAAACTATGGCACTCAGGCACGTCATATTCGTTCATACGCCACCTAAAAGCACCAACTGCCATTAATCTCGATACTCCTAAAGCCACCGCATGTAGGTGGGGACTTTCGTCCCCCTGGAACCCCAGAGCCCCCCCTGGCCACACACTAATGGCACTCTGGTGCTGCTAACAAAGTCTAAAAATCCGACCGAAACTGTTTGCCATCGCCGACTCTGTCGCCCGCCGCTGGCGATGGGCAAAAGTGTCAAAGTGCTAAAGTATGTTCAAAGATTCATAAGATTAAATGCCAAAAGCCTACGTCGCGCCATCTCTTTCCCTTAGCACCATGGTGTCTATTGCTGTCTCTATTTGCCCTTGCGGTGTCTGGAAGATATCTATATTCATCTTGCAATAGGTATCTCAGACTTTAAGACGGACTTGGTAAAAGATACAATGTGACTAGAACAAAATCTTTAAAAATCTTTGGAAAGCTTATTCAAAAGACAGATTGTATTTAAGCCCCGGAAAGACTTTTGAAGGTATCCACCCATTATTCCCTTTAAACGCATGTAAGACGTGGCGTATGCGCAATGTGTGTGTGCGCCCAAGACGATGGAACTCATTATGCCCAGTTCGAAGGAGGCAAAGGAACGAAATGATGGAGGAGAAAAGCCACGTCTAGTCCTGGCGCCGAAGGCTACCGACTACGTCTGGCCAGTCCTTGAGCTCACCTCGAGTTTTTCATTTGCCTCGGCCAATGCATTATACTCCCTGCATTAGCTTGGCCCAGAAGTTCATTGCCCCACGGCTTTTCATTCTCCTCTAGTTTTTTTAAGGAAATTATATGCAGGGATAGCGTGGATTTCAATTTTCGCCGGCCTGCTTCGCTTTTCTTTCTCCGTGCGGAATGCCCCGGCGTAGTGAGCGCGAAAAATTTAAATTGAAAATGCAAAATGCTCATATGCAATTTGTTTGAAAGAAAAAGCTGAGGGGGTTTCGGCCCTTTTTACAGTTTGCCGGGCATAAAAATCCACGACGGACTACATTGTTGTCAGTTTGTAGCTTTGGCTACAATCGTTTGCTTTACGACCACACCCACACATGCTGGCAGGACAGGGCATTTGGCATTTTATGCGAAATGTTTGCTCGGCGAAGGAGCCGTCGGGATTCGGCATTATAGTTGTACGAGTATGGGGTCCCTGGCCCTTCCCTGGGCCACCAATTCCGGCTTTAGCAGCGAGTTCCAGCCATTCCCCTCCTTGGCTCGGCTTTAAAATTAAGTTTACATTTTTAATGTGCAAAGTCTCTGGCCCCTCGCCCTCGAAACTGCGTCAGTTTTATGTTTGCCAACTTTAATGGTCATGACTCTTGGTATTTTTGCTCGCAAGTTGATAGTCAGCATGAGAAATAGTTCAGAAAGACATAAGAAACAGGAGTATGTGGCAAATAAGTCATATCATAGCGCAAATGATAGGGGTGTATAATATGTCAGTTGGATGAAGACAACCCAGGGGAATTTGATTAAATTCTGGTCATGCTAGTGGAACATTGTGCTTAAATGAGAAAACTAAGTGCTTAATCCTTTGTTTGTTTGTTACCCAGCATGTGTAAATTGGTGCTGTCTTATTCCTAAAAATAATATACATTTTCTTAGTTACAATTGGCTATCTACTCATTAATTTTTTTGGTAAATAAAGTATAATACAATTATTAAAATCAATTCATTAATTTTTACTTTCCTGAGAAGATGTAAACTAATATTATTTAATGGCTCGTTGCAGTGGATTTATAAATGTAAAATCCAAGAATCATTGAACTTATTATCTAAATTATTTAGTTTCCAACTTTTCCAAATATTTATCTCCTTATTTTATATGTATGCTGTAAACCCATGAAACTGAATTGGTTCATAATTTTGTTTGCAATTCTCCAATCACATTATAAGATTGATATACACTATGGAAGTGATCCCTCTACCTAATCGACCAACCATTCTTCTCCTTTCGATTATATAATTCAAATCTGAAGAATGGCGTCTTCGTTTGATTAATTCGCTCTAGCTGATTCCCAGTTAAATGCTACTCATACGCCGCATTGTCCGCCGCGAAATTCATTAGGGTGTAACCCCCTCCGTACTTCTATATCTCCCCCTTGGGTCCCCGGTTTACCAGCCTTGATTGAGCCGCGTTGGCCCAAATCACGTTGCAATTGCCACAGACGAAGCTGGAGCGCAAACGAGAGGAGAAACGAGACTCATTAGTCCGAAGCGTGATGCGTGACACCAACTTTAAATTGTGCAAAGACAGGCGACAGGACCTCCGCCCTCTCCGCCCTCAGCACTCCCCCCGCGTCCTGGCCAACCATTTCCCATTTCCATCACATTGCAGCGTAATCTTGGCCATTACTCAAAAAGTAGCTTCGCACGTAGACTGCGACTAAAAAAGAAACGCGGAAAAATTGCAACCACTGCTACACCAAGAAACAATTTCTAGCTTCAAACATAATTTGCATTTAAGTACCATCGATTGGAAATTAGATTAAAAAACACTCATTCAGGCAAATACTTTAACAAAGTGTGGATAATTTTTAACACAAAGCAAAAACATACTTTTTTTTATTTGTCTTTGAAATTATATCTCAACAAAAAATACATTTTTTTATAAACTATAAATAAACTTTTTATTACTGTCTGCTTTTTTTATATATTTGCATGTAGATTTTATACATAAATTGGTAATCTCTTTTATTTTTTTTTTCTTTGAATATAACATATATGTAAATTAGGGGGAAAAAATGTCACGAAAATCACGTTTGACCCTCCGCTAATGTGTATATATATATATATATATATATATATGTATATAATATATTGTAAGCCTAATGACATAAAACATTTATTTTCCACAAAATGGTATCTCAGTCCTTAGCCCTAAGATCATTAATTGAAAAGCTCAATGTATTAATTTTTTCTGGTGTAGCCTGGCTCTGCGGGTGACATCCCCAGTCTGTTTGTGTTTGTGCTGCCGTTTTGCCCGGCAGCTTCCCCCTGCTCGGCACCCATGCCCCAGCCTCATGCCCCCTCGCCGTGCGCCTCTGTCCTTGCCACAGTCGCCTTTGAAATCAGAATCCACTGGAGCTCCCCTGTGCCTCTCCTAATGGCTTTGTTATGCTAATTTCTTGACGCCTGCTGGCCATTGGAGTCGCCATTTGCCCCTCGGCCCTGCCGACTTTGATGTTGTTTCTTATTAATTTAATTATAAATATTATTCTTTTTTTTGGTGGCAATTGCTTACCAGGAAATGGAAAAAATTCAAATATCTACATTTGCATCGTGATTTTAAACTTTTTGTCGGACAAAGAATTCTAGTTTCCGTTTGGTGTGCTCTGCACTGAGAAAAAGTAATATGCAATGGATCTAGATTTATTTTAGGAATTGTCTATCGTTATTGTTAATATATTGCTTTTAATATTTTTGTGATAACTTTTATTTTTCTGATCCTAAACTGTAAGGAATAGAAATTTGTTTACTAATTTCCATACCAAAACTTGGTTTTTCAACCAATAACCAAATAAAAACAAGCTTTTTCTCGTGTATTGAAAAACACATCAATGTATGAAAATTTTAGCAATGCATTGAGAACCTCACAATTGAGACAATCGAGTAATGTTTCTGTGGCTTCCAGCTTCACTTTCTGGCCCAGATGCGTTTATTTACTGCTGTAGACTAAAGGACAACGTATCGGTGGCTTTTCTCATGTTCCTTCTCGTCGTGCTTGCTGAAAAAGCGAAACTCTTCATTTGGTGAATGGGACTTAGCTGGAAATCCTTCATAAGCATCGCATAAATTCTTTGTCAATTGTGGCAAATTCTCAGCCATCCAGTTGGTCAGTCGTCCAGTAGTTTTCCCTTGCTTTCTCCTCTACCTCTTCCCTTCTAATTGTGCCATGTGTGCTGGTGAGTCTTCAAATTGTAACTAGAATTTGATGAGCCTGCATGAGAGTACATTGATGGGATTAGTCTTGCAAAAGGCGACTGCATGTGGCCATAGATGAAATGAAAGACCTTTAAGCCATGACAAGTTGTAGATGCAGGTGGTCAAAACGCATTGGGTAATTGGGGATTCTGTTGACAGTCGGTTCTCCGAAAGTGAAAGGATAAAAGGCAAAGGAACATAGTACATCAAAAATGTGATAAGATCTAAACAGTAAAATTGCACAATTTAATAAAATTTATTTAAAAGAAAAATTATAGAAATATGAAGGAGATCGGCGGCTTGCTGCTGCAGGTTAAACGAATTAAAGTTTCATAAGTACTTAATACAACAATAAATAATAAACACAATAAATTAATATAGTGAAGAACATTAATTTTGACATATATTACTCTATTGATCCGTTATCCTATAAATAACTTTCCTATAACGACCCGGTAGCATAATGAAAAAATAAATTTACTGTAATAATTAAATTAAAAGTGCTACATACCAACAGCATTTGATCCAGCTAAAAATGCAATGCTAGATAAGGTACTGAATCATTATATTATTTGGTGACCCACAACTTTTTTATAGTAAAACACTAGAATACTTTCGCCCATTTTTTACAAAATTTAAACAGTGCAAGAGCTTTTAACATGAATCTTATCTAATCGTATTTTTTGAAATGGTTGCCTGTATAGAGGTTTTTCTTATAGCTATCAAGGAACACTAGGGTCAAGTTTAATGAGATTCGCCTACATCTCGATGTTATATAATTCATTTATATTTATAGATATATACTTTGCTTTGCTATACAGTTTTTTCGGAAAAGTAAAACGGTATTAAATCTTCGGCTTTCCGATGCTTGTTTCCCATTCTTGTTTATTGGTTAAGTAGTGTTTTCAGTGCTTTCGTGTTTTTATTATTCAAGTATTCTTCTCCTGGAAGTCGCTCATCCAATGTTTCTTCCTTGGAGTCCTCCATTGTTGTTTGCCGTCTTTCTGCCGCTCTCCTTGGCCTGTTTTCTGGCCGTGGTTGCTCCTGTTTGCTGCATGTGGCTTAGGAATGGCTTACAGCCGCTTCCCTGTTTTTCCTGTTTTTTCTGCTTTTGAGCCGAGGGACGGCTGGTGCTGCAACCGATTATCTTCCGACTTTCCTTCCTTTCTTCCTTATCGCTGGTTATTATCCTTCCAGCTCCAGCAACAGCCTTTTTCATGATTTCCAGCTGCTGTAACTGCATTCTTAAGCTCAATCAAACAGGGAGCCTGGCGAATATGCATTGAATTACTCGTAAGTGAGCGATATTCGTATTTTTGTGGATGCCAAAAACCCGGAAGAGCTTTATAATTAAAATTCCCCGAGCCCGGAACCCTTGGGCCCACACATAGGTGCATTCCCCTACAGAATTTAAATGTCGTTTTACCAGGAC